AAAGGTGTATTCGCCGTGTCCCGAATTTATAAACGTACAACGAATAACTCCAACTGCGACTTGGTAACAGGCTGTGATTGCTGTAGCATCTTCACCAAGAAGCATATGATTTAGAGTTTTATATATGACTGAGTATGGAAAACTCAGAGATATTAACGCGTCCATCATCGATTTTGATGCTAGCGACCAAAGGGCAGGATATTTAGATACGATATCCTGTGTGAAATAATTTAAACAAGCTTTTCCAAATGCAGGCGAAATACGCGAGTAAACATCTTGAAATTCCGGGCACAGGTACTGATAGAAATAATATCCCCGGCCTAAATTGTCTACGATACTTTTGAACATATCATCCTTAGAAAACGTCTCTAGCAACTCTACAAATAACACAGTTATATTCCAAAAAGTTACTATATTGTATTCTTTTTCAATGGGAAATGAGTTATTTATTATGTTTTGTATATTTTTGTATAAATGAACAGGAACCATAAAATTATTTTCATTCAACAATCTTTTTGCTATATTCATGGAAAGACTTTCCAATATCTTCTTGAACAATTTTCTATGATCCTGCCACACTGTCAAGAACCTTTCCAAAAACGGTATAAACAATTTATTAAATTTAATTTGCTGAATTTCTATACTGTCGTTCGTCGTCAAATATGCTGTAAATACCCTTAGAATAGTTTCACGGTTATAATAATATTCATTATTAGGATCTGTAATAAAACATTTATCAAAGACTTCTAAAAATACTTCCTCCATAAAAGAAACTTCCAAAATGCTAACGTTATCCCTCAGGTGAATCCAAAAATTAACGAAAAAATCATTATCATCATTAGACAAGCCATGTGCATTAAAATATAAAACAGATTTTCTTAAAAACTTGTGCCGTACAATTTCAGGTATTTTACTACTACTTTTCAATTTTATCTTTATAGATTCGTGAAATTCTTTGGTTAAATTACACATAATTACGTCCAATATTTCCCATATCTTTTTAATCATGCGAGACTCTTTTTCATTAATCAAAATTTTATAAGTACATTTAAACAGACCACATCGTACTGAATAACTGGTTGTAAGATTCCATACATTTAGTATATTTTGTTTTGTCTCATTAACGTCAAAATTTTTTAACATGTAAAGTATTCCTAATTTTTGGTAATTTCCAGACTCAGTCAAAAATGTATTTATATATGGTAAGGCCTGATCTGATCGAGTGTCCAGCAATGTTAAGTATAATAATGGAGCACCAAATCTAAAATAATTACCTTTCGTATACAATAAAATAGTATCGAGACTTACTGCGGGGCGCAACAAATACAAATATTTAGCAATATTTTTCCTTATATCAAATAAGATGGTAGTACTTTCATCTTTCCGATTGATATTAATAACTTCAAGAGTGTATGTTTTCACCAGTTTTAAAGCTTCTTTACGAGGGAGTAGAATAAACAGACCCTCTATGCAGGACTTAAGGTCTGGAGGTTGTTGCAATCTAATAAAAAAGCAATCAACCCATTGCTTAGCTATAGAATTGGGATAGTAGACCCGTAATTTTCTGAGAGTTCGGCGCAACGACATTTTGTTTTTCGAAATAATAGGTTCTGTGCTGTTTTTGTGCTGAAGTAACAAATCTGGATCATGTTTTAGAATGTTTAGACAAATTTCGTCACTCGGATATAGGGCTAGAGAATCTTCAAATAGTAGCCTTCTTATGCTTTTATGCTGCCTATATAAATCCATCAAAATTTTAGATACATCGTTGCCCCACGAATTTTTGTTTTTAATCATTATTAACTCTTGGATTTTATCCAACACAAAAGGAAATTCTGTGACGTTTTTATTCCAATCCTTCATAAACCTTATCATTTCATCGCACATATAAACCACAGCTACAAAATCCGATTTATTCTTAACTTCTTTGCTAATCAGTTGCGTTGATGCATGTTTGTATAAGTATTCGAACAATTTGTGGCCTTCGTCAGAATCTAATTTTTTACGAAAATGTATGAAATTATCCAGTGCTATATGATCTTCTATAACTTTAGGTACATATTGATCATGAAGAATGTTATATAACACTATAGCAGGGATATATCTCATATTTATATCAGAATTAATATTTCTTTTAACATCGCTATAAATACCCATATTTTTAAAGATATTATTCAGTATATCCCAGGTAGTTTCATCGTACCTGTGTGTTTTTGAGAATTTGATCAAAATGGAGCTAATGTACTCGTCAACAATACCTTTATCCTCTCCGTGGTAATTGCCTAGCAGTGTTTGTAAATGCTGTAGGTTGCCTCGGGCACAGCAAACTAATATTTCTAAAGCCCACGGCCGGATTACTGTTTTGAGAGTTGTAAAAGGGTATTCTAATTCTAATAAATTTATCACACCTTCATCATTTTCTCCTAAAATACAGGTATCGTCAACAATTTTATCTTTTATGTTATTAAATGCGATATCAAATGGAGCAAAATGGTACCAGGAATAGAAATCTTCTTTCGGTTCTTCTTCATGTTCAGATTTTATATTAATTGAGGACGACGTATACACTTTGTTTAAAAACAGGTCCTGCACTAATTGAAAGTGTTGCTCCGCTGGTACACGCCTTATGATATGTTTCACATACTTATATTTACACCATGATCTTAAAGAATCTCTATCACTTAGCAATTGTTTCGTTAGAAAAGGTTGAATTTCTTTAGGTTTTAAATGTTTTCCAAATTCAGGCAAATCTATTTTATAGCAATATTTATAAAAATTGTTACATATTATTCTAGAGCATCTATTCATTAGGAACCTTGTAGCCTTTTTTCCGAACTTAGGAATGAATATTTCATCTACAGAGTTTATGATCTCCAAATATCTTTCAGTATCAGTGAAAAGAAAAGTTTTAGCGCTTTTTAACCAACATTCTGAAGGATTTATTTCACAGCAAATTTTTAAAATCGCCAATGATTTCCTACACAACCTTTTCATTATATTTAGATCTATATTTACCCGATCATTTTTTATAACGCTTATAATCAAACTTTCAGAGCAATGGGGCAACCATTTTTGGGCAGTTTTGAAGTCTTCAAAGTTAAAAAAACTATAAAACTCATCCACACGCTTTTCATTTCTCAGATAGAGTCTTATAGTAAGCAGGAGTTTGTTCTTTGCCTTGTTTTTCATCTCGGGGAACAGTTGTTGGTGGAGGTAGTACGGGTTGATGATATGCGCATACTGGTCGTCGCACACCAGCCACGTACTGCTCCGCAGCGCGCGTGAGACATACAACATGTCACCGCCTTTCAACACCTCCAGCAAATATTGCGCGTTCTGTCGCGCACACGCTACATCAATTTTAAATAAGTTATCCATATCCTTATCGTCATAATTGATGCTTTCCAATGTAAATGTTTCGTCACTCGAAGCAGTCTTCACGAGAGCATTGTAATGCTCATGTTTCTGACCTAGGGTTACCCCATTTAGCTGTAACGGGATCATGGTGGTGTTTTTACCTGAAAAGGACGAATAATCGTCATCAAATAATCGAATCGAAATAAATATTACCTCTATTTATTCCTGTTGAACTATACAGGTTTCTAAATACAAGTACCTACTTATTTCTACCGTGCTCTCAATAACGTGTAGTTAGTTCCGTAATTTCTGCCCTTCTAAAGTGACAGTATTCATGCTATCCATACCTATAAACTAAAATTACTTAAAATAGTATAAAGTTATTTCGTCAATCTGTCGATTTGAAACTTTTTCTTGTCTTTTACAAATTATTCAGAAAATATTATTGGAGTTTAGTTAAAAAGTTATTTAGCACCTACCTATTTTAAGAGGTGTAATTCGTTTTGATTTGGTCTTTTTTGGTACCCACTGTTTCATTTATTTAATTTTCTTCATTTATATTCTACCTAAAATACACTGTGAATTTTGAGTAACCTGAGAAACTTAAAAATGTATAAATAAAAAAATTGAGAACAGTTATAACCAGGAAACGTACTTTCGTACAGAATTTGATTATATTAGATTATTTTCTTTTTTTTAAATCTATTATAATGAAATGCGGTTATCATCAAGGTATTATATTTTGTACTTTACCCAATATTGCATGCAGTAGCTGATTAAGATTAAAGAAAAGGAAGATATTTATATACTTTCTTACGCTCTGCATACCTATATCCTATTATTACAAGTCTACCCCGAGTCGACTATGCACCCAGACCGAGCAACGTTACTTCAAAGCGGCGCGTCAGTCGGCTGTTGGCGTGCATTCACTTTGCTGCTGCAGGGCGCAGGCGCTCGCACGGAACGGACGTGTGCTCTGGTGGATTTAATTCGTTGCCCGTTCGCCATCCTATTCGACATTGATACGTTGAACCACGTTGAACAATAAGTGAAGGTGATCGTTTGAATAGTTGTCGGTTATAGTGTGAAATTCATTAAACGAAAAAAAATGTGTGTGAATTTTATAAAAGTGACATTATGTCCTTTTAATAAAAATGGACGTTATTTTCGTACTTGAATATCAAAGTACCCACCAATCGTACGCAGGATGGTTAAAACAGTGTTACGTGATTTAGTTGTCGCAACAAGACCTAATGTCTCTGATAGTGATTTTTGTGAAGTGAATTTGCGTATCGTTGCAAGTACCTATTGGCTATTGCTAGAAAAAGTATTCAACTAATTATGTATGCGTTGTTTTTGACGTGACAACGTCTTAAATTAGGTTGCGGCTGGGAGTCACTTATGAAAAAGTGTAACGCTCGGTAACGTTACGATGAGTCTCTCGTGTTAAGTTTAAGTTTACATGTACAATGTTTTAGTAAACAAAATATATTTCTATAGTTAAAATTTGTGCAATTCTTATTTTCATTCAATTCCTTGTTCCTATTGTGCAATTTAATTATATTCATATCAATAAATATTCTACCGAGAAAAAGACGTTGTCACGTAAAATCTTCGCCCGTAAAACCGACTTTACAGGCAACCATTTTTTTGTTATATGTTTAAGTGTGGCTTATTAGTTCGTGTCTTCATAAATAAAACGGTAGAAGTAGAACAGACTTGACAGTGTTATACATGTAAAGAAAAACTGTAGAAAAAGTGTCGTTATTGTTACATTGCTTTTTCGTTAATGGGGTTACTAATAGTTAAAAAGCTCTGATGTTTCTGCCAATATTTTATCAGTGTAGTTGTAAATTGCTAATGTGTATTGTGTGGACACTGGTAACAACTAGAAAATATTCCACGCCGACCAGGCAGCAGACGGGACACGAACCCGCACCCATCGCTATCCGGGCGAGTGCACTGACCATTATACTACCGCGACCCTGATGGCCGTGTCGTATTTTCTCTAGCCTTTCTTAAGCTGCAAGGCAGCGCCATCTCTTCGCATTGTAGGTAACCCACAATGTCAAATGAATACCTTTACAAATATTAATCATTTATATTAATCACACGAAATAGCAATTATAGTTATATTTTTTATTTTTTAAAGCATGTAACTGCTAAATGTTTAAATCTAAAGAAAATTTTACTAGAAAATACTCCACGCGGACTAGGCAGCAGACGGGACCGCCTGGTTGAAAGTTACACACATCAAAAAAAGTTTGAGATCACTTGCAAAAGCTGATATATTTTCAAAATTTAACTTAATCAAAAGAAAATGTTTACGTTATACCTATCTTTTTCATTTTTAAAATACACTTTCTGAAATTAAAAACAAAATTTTATTTTTTAGTATAAAAAAAAAATTCAATCCTAAGGCGATTGTAATAGAACGTTGATAGAAATAAAAAGATAGTTTAACCAAACTCAAAAACCTTTTATTAATAAATTGTTGTTTATCTAATACAAAATAACTCCTCCTCTGGCTCGAACATATGCGGAGATCCTCCTGGGCATGCTGAGGATCAAGTTATCCAGCATTTCTTGTGGTAACTTGTCCTATACTTGAACAGCAGCTTCCCCGAGCTGCGGCACTGTCTGGGGTGGTGGCTGTCGGTTCCAAACAGCTCGCTAAGAGCATCCCACGCGTGGTCTATTTGGTTTAAGTCAGGAGAGCCGGCAAGCCAGTATAACCTTGTGATTTCGTATTCTCGGAGAGCAGCATTGACTCGCTGAGTTCGATGTGCGGGCGCATTATCGTCAGCCAGTACAATTTGGTGCCCATGGTTTACTCGGAAAGGTCTGACGATTCCATCCATAGCGACTGTTTTGTATCTGTCTGCCGTCATGAAGCCTTGATAAAGGATTAAAGGCGTTCAAGCCCCAATCATAATACCACCCAAAAAGACACTGATTTCCCGCCTTGCTGAACCGTTCCAGAGGCCGTTCTGAGTCTCCGGGGCTTCTCCAAACACGGACACGTCGGTTATCTGGATGAGTACTGATTTGCGATTCGTGAACGAAGAAGCAGTTTTGCCAAATGTTTTCCTCTTCGTCTTCTTCATTTTGCCGGAGCCTAACCCACTGTAACCTCCGTCGCTGACGTTCCCGTGAATTCAAAGGTGCCTCACAAAGAGACCTCCGTGCTTGTAATCCAGCCTTGTGTAAAGCAATTCCGAATGGCCTGAGTGCTAACTTCAAGTCCGGAGACTGCCCGTATTTGTGCTTTTTATTTAGTGGCGTTTATTGTTGAGTCGTGGGCTACCAGCAACCTAATGTAGCGCTTCTGAGCAGCTGTTAAAACAGTTGGGCGACCGCTGCGGGTTCGATCAGCTAAATTACCCATGCCATGGTACCTCTGCAACGTGGTTACTACACAGGATTGAGATATAACAACTCTGCGTGCTATTTCTCTCGCAGAATAGCCTTCTTCCCTCAAAGTTACAATTCTGACTCCTAAAACATCTGATAATCCTCGTGGCATTTTTGAAATCACAACTTTCCGTGAAAAAATAATTTTATATTCGATAATATTGACTAAGTCAGATTTCTGAATGAGTGTCAGCTTGGATTGCATATCTTTTTATATGGAAAAACAAGTTTCACGTTCTAATTCTAATCTTAAAATTTAGAATCTTATCAGAAAAAGAAATTATAAAAAAAGTCTTCTGTAACACAATAAACAATCTATTTTTCAAAGTGATCGCAATCTTTTTTTGGTGTGTGTACGTCGTTAAAAGTTTTGTAAAACTGTCAGATTCGTGTTTCGTTATTATTCGCGATGGAACAAACGAACAATAATTTGATTTGATTAATTTGATTGAAGAGACCAATGATCATATGTTGGTTATGTTCTAACCAGAGCATCGAAACCCAGTTCAATTTTGAAAATCGATCGGTCGGTTTGGTTAAATAAGACACAGTATTTACATCCCGTGTCTTTCATAATTATATGATTGTATGAAATAATAGTGATAAGATTCCCAACTATATTTCTTGTGTTATTGCACGTTACATCATTTGGTGCTTTCTTACAATTTAATTTTTTGCAAGACATTCTTCTCGTGCTTACTTTCTTTTTTTTGAGGATTTAAAATGATGAACATTATAAATTAGGCACCATTTTTATTAGCAGAGCAGGCCAGAGAGAGTAGACAACAAAAGCCATAGATATACTAAAATACATAATGGCATACATACACTATAACTTTAACACTTCAATTTTAGAATTTATAGCAATAACATTCTTAAATTGTTGTAACTTATTATACATACACAGCAATGTTCTAATGCTTAACTTTATGAATTGAACCCATAACAATATGTGACCTCTGTATATTTCTTTCTCAATGTTATAATAAAATATGTAAGTATATGTAAATGAAAGAATTTTCGTAACATTAAGTTACTTTAAACAACATCAAACTGTTTTACTTAATGCTCGTCAAACATTACACATTTATAATCAAGAATGCCTATTGAGACACAAATGCAAAATGAATCAATATAAAAAAAAATCTTTATCAAATTACAGTAAGAGTCTTACAATCTTTAGTTTAATGACATGTTTAAATAACAGTAATAATACACATAAATATTATTCTTAAACTAAACCTTCTTATGTTAAATTATGATGGAAGGAGATAGAAAGCCTCTCTGAGTTTGTTTCGCCGGTTTTTCTCAGAAAGGTCTCCCAATTTTGGAACCGGTGGTTGTTTACGGTAGTTAAGGTCAAATAAATAACTCAAAATTACAAAAAAGACTTTTAAATAAAGTACTTTATTAACTAAATTATGTAATAAATTCATACATAGACAATAAAGTTGTAAAAATCTTCCAAAGAAATATCTGAACGCTTAATAAAAGTCTTTCGAAGGTAGCTCGAAAAATAAATAAAAAATCAATAATCTTACGATGCAGACCTGAAAAGGCTGCGAAACGTCATTATTGACGTTAAATAAATTTAGTACATTAACCCGTAAAAACTATTTAGTGACTGATGTGCGTGAAAACCTAAGAAACAAATATAAACATCTGTGTCAATATTTCCATTTAAGAAGGCCGTTGGCACATCTAATTGCTTAAAAGGCATATCTTGTCGTACAGCCAAGTTCATCATCAATCTTATGGTAGATATTTTAGCGACTGGAGAATAATGATTGTCATTGCTAATTTGTTGGAATCCCTTTGCTACAAGTCTCGCTTTCTCTGTACCATATTGTTTAGTCTTAAAAATTCAGTTTGTGTCTATTGTGCTTTACTTCCCCTTGGCAGAGTAGCTTCTTCCCACGTCTATAATTTAATCTACGAGTGTAGTTCCTGCTGTATTGCATTCTTCCAATCTTCATCTTCAATTGCATCTTTATATTCTTGTGGATCTCCTGATAATAAACATTATGCTGTATATAATTCATAATCTTCTAAAATTCTCTTTGGTTTTTGTATTACTCTTTCTGTTCTTGATGTATATCTTGGTTTTTCATCACTTTCTTGATTATTTTCATTCTCTATTTCATTATTTTCTCTTATTTCTCTGTTTACAATCTCTTTAACTCTTCCTTTATCTGTAGTATCATACATTTCATCATTCTCTCTGTTGTAGTTATCTTTTTTGTTATCTTTTTCTTCCTTTGTAATTCCTTCTTTGTATTTACGTTGAGTCTCGTCAAATCTTACATCTCTAGATACTTTTATTTCATTTGTTTTTGGGTCCCATAAACGATATCCATTTGAACTATATCCCACAAATATCATCTCTTTTGCTCTTTCCGTGAATTTATCTTGTTTAGGTAATATATGCATCCATACTTTTGAACCAAATACTCTGAGCTTAGTCAAATTTTTACTACCAAATTTCTTCTCAGCTGGTGTATAAAAATCTTAGACTGCACAACCTACTGCTTCACCCCATAACATCCTTGGTAATCCTGTTTCAATTAGTAAAGTCCTTGCTTTATTACAGATTGTCCTATTCATTCTCTCCGCAACCAAATTTGACTGCGGGTTATATGGTGTAGTATACTGTTGAATGATACATTTCTACTTACAAAATTTCTTAAATTTTTCATTTCTGAACTCACCACCGTTGTTACATCTTATCTTCTTTACTTTATTTCCTGTTTGCCTTTCTGTTCTATTAATATATTCTATAAGTCTGTCTGTCGCTTCCTTTTCCTTTTCAATAGGTATACTTCACAAAAATGAGAGTAATCATCAATAATAGTATGATAGTATAACTCACCTTTTAATGTAGGAGTTCTCATTGGACCGTATATACAGTTTGTCTATAAAGTCGTGACATGAATGTTTGAGGAACTAACATTATTCATATGTCTGGCAACACCAAACTTATGTACATCAGCTGTCATCCAGTTTCAGTTGTGGAACAGTTTTCCTTTTGTATTTTTTATTGTTTGGATTAAACTGTAATAAATTAAGACGAAACTACGCAGAAAGGTATAAAAATGAGTAAAGTAAATCGCAGTGGCACGCGGGAAGTGATTTTTAAAGTTTTCCAGCGATGTTTCGAAGACTACCAATTTGAGAATTTTGTGGGATTTGGATGATGTTTATGGGCGAACAGCATATATGACGGGTATTTAATTGTGTAACTATTTGTTTGTAATCTGCCTGAAGTTACAAATTTACTCAATTTACGATTTTTAAGACCAAAAACGGCATTGTTTACATTGCACATTTTTATGTTAGATTGACATTGTAAATAGGTAATATTGTAGTACGACCATTTCTATTGATTCTTTATTATGGTTCAACTCGATCACGTTTTCTACCAATTTTGAATTAATTGCTTCATGTCAATAAGTTATTATTTCTATTCCGTTACATATTTTTTACCTTTTTTCAGGAAAATCAGAGAGTCGGATAGTCAACGAAGGTTTTAAGAATGATGGAAAGTTTGAAACTCCTGGGAAAACAGGCGAAAGAAATGGTCACATAAAGAACCATGGCCAGATGCTTTTAGTGAAAATACCTATCACTAATTTTACTAACTGCACATTTACAAATTGTTTCTCTAAATAAACTTTTTATATACCTACTATAAAATGATTTTTAGTATTATTTTCATAACAAGTGTGTTAAAAAACTTGTGTGTATTGATGATTACCTAACGGCTCTGGTCTCAATGGCACCTCAGCGGTAATCACCAACATTACACACTTTTACACTATAAAGTACTATTTTATCTGTAATAATTTTATTCTGATTCAATTAAATATGCTTGGCTAAACTTTTTATAAGCATAGGTACTGTAACGTCCGTGACGTTACAGCCTCCTTGTTTAGGTAAACTCTTTGCTTTTGCAATGCCTACGGTTGGCAGTTATATTAAAAAGTTAATTTCATGATTTTAAGATTTGAAATAAGGAATCGTCTGTCTTTTGATAGAAGGTTCCATACAAGAGTCGATCTTTAGGCACCAACCAACCCTCTCGTGCTTAGATAAAAATAATTATATTCGCCTGAATGAAATAAATATCTCATCTCTACCAGTATCTTTTAATTAATCGCTACGTCCCCAGGTTCTATCCACTCTGGCTAGAGCTCCTTATGGTGGACGCGCCGCGTAGATTCAAGTACCGCGAGTGAAGAATTTTTAAATCAAGAAAGAAGTAGTTTTTATAAAGATGGAGACTAGGACCACATTCGACGGAAAAGGTGATGTAACCGATTTCTTTCGTCAGTTTAATATCATCGCCGCCATCAATAATTTCAACGATGAAACAAAAAGAATTGTGTTGTCGGCATATTTAAGTGGACCTGCATTGTTATTTTATAAAAATATTAATGAGTCTTGTGAGAATTTTCAGATTTTAGAAAAGAAAATACGTGAGGAATTTCCATCATCGATAAATACGTTGGAAAAAATTTTCTCACGAAGACAAGGCTTGTCAGAAGAGCCATTGAACTATTTTTATGTATTAGCTGTCATCGATGACAAATGCTTCATTAGACAGTTCTTGAAAAATGTGAATTTAAATACGAAAAATCTTTTCGCATTTCAATTATACGATAATAAAGTGCATTTAAAGGAAGTTTTAAGACAAGCGCAGGACATTTTCGGGGATGAAAATGACGAAGTTAATTGGAATCTGCCGATCCAACCATCGTTTGCTCACTTCGAAGCGGCGAAAATTTCTCATTTAATAAGGAATGAAGAGGAACAGGAGAAGGAGATCAACCTCATTTCCTCCCAAAGTGTCCCTTCTCATCCCATTGTCCCTCCCGAACATATGATTCCCCGCACTTTTTGTTCCAGTAACTTGAACAAAAAAAAGAAAAAACTAAAGAAGAAGCATCCAAAGAAAATTTTTTATGAAGAAAATTTAATGACGATGGCTGATGAAGAAGTTCAACATTCACAGCCATTACAAAACTGCAATCAATATACAAGTGAGTCTAAACCATTAATTAATATAACGTGTCGTGATAAGGAGTTTGTAGGGCTCATTGATAGTGGTGCTGCAGTGTCTGTGGTGTCGAAGGACACAGTTAATAGAATTCATCAACGAATTGATGAAAGCAATACGAAGTTGAAAGCCGTCGATGGCAAAGAATTGTCAGTTATAGGGAAAGTCAACCTAAAATTATTGATAGACAATGCGTTATTCATTCAAGATTTTCTTGTGGTAGAGAATATTAGGCATAACATCATCTTAGGACAGGATTTCTTTCTTCGAAATAATGCGATAATAGATTTTTGTAACGAACAATTAATAATCAAACATATTAAGTGCAAGTTTAAAAGACAATATATACAAATGAATAACGAAAGTGATAGTGATAATTCGGTGTATGATGAAAATTTATATTATGCCGAATAGGTTGATAGTATTATAATATTGTGTTACTAATGAGATTTTATTTCAGTTTATTGTTTATATGAATGTTTTAAAGCAATGGTGGTATGTAAATAAGGTTCAATACAATAGTCATTTTAGAATTTTATTTCAAAAGCATATTAAACATAACTTTGTCATTTTATTAGAATTTTTTTTCAATACACATATTATAAGGAACTTTTACACATTTTGTTTATGACAGATCAATAGGTAGTTTCATTAAAGTATTTTAGGGCCACCTCCCAGTTGTATTAATGTCCTTAAGCAGGTAGGGATTTTAGATAGGACTGTCGAACCCTCTCGATGTAGTAGGTAGGAAAAAAAAATTTTGTTCGGTCATCTAGTATGACAAAACAATTTTTTTTTAGCGGTGCCGGAGGGATGTAACGTTCGTGACGTTACAGCCTCCTTGTTTAGGTAAACTCTTTGCTTTTGCAATGCCTACGGTTGGCAGTTATATTAAAAAGTTAATGTCATGATTTTAAGATTTGAAATAAGGAATCGTCTGTCTTTTGATAGAAGGTTCCATACAAGAGTCGATCTTTAGGCACCAACCAACCCTCTCGTGCTTAGATAAAAATAATTATATTCGCCTGAATGAAATAAATATCTTATCTCTACCAGTATCTTTTAAATAATCGCTACGTCCCCAGGTTCTATCCACTCTGGCTAGAGCTCCTCAGTACCTACTATATATAAAACAGAAACAAAATACGACTGTATAGTGTGTCTTATTAACCTATTTTACTTGAATGAACTGCTAGTATCAAAATCATTTTGGTTCGACTGTATTGGGTTGCTACATGCATACTAGTGGCACCATCATTTAATGTCACGACTTTATAGACAAACTGTATCTGTATGTACCAACTCAACTATGTTATAGGAACGTGGTTTTGAACAATCTTGGAATGGTAGTCTAGTAGACTTGCTTTGCATGCAGGGCTCACACTGTGACTTACTGTATGGAAGACTCAATGTTTTTAGCTGGTTCCTATTAGCATGCCCTAGTCTTTTATGCCAAATATCATGTGACAAGCAGCATTCTTCATAATTCAATTGTATATCTGTAACGTATTACCCTTGATTTTTCCATTAACTACTGAATGGTATTCAATATAGATACATAGTCATTGTGAAATTTAACCTGCAAACCTTTTGTTAATAATTTTCTTACTGACAGCTAATTGTATGATAAGGCTAAAACTATTAATCCTTTTATTTGAATATTTATTTTATTAATATTTTAAATTAAGTTTACCTTTTCTAGTACTTAATAGATATTGACCGTTATCAACAAATATTTTTACTTCACTTTCTAACTTAGAAACATTTATCATATATGGTAAGTATTTGTCCTTAATTAAATGATCAGTAGCACCAGAATCTACAACTAACTAAATACTATCACTCATATCAAAGTTACCTACATCGAACACTGGCACCACATTTCGCATTCATCTTCCCTATTGTCGGCTTGAGTAATTTTGTCAGATTGCCACGATGAACTGGAGACTCGACCTCTACTTGAATTATATCCTCAAGATTGACCTCGCTGTCCTTACCATATATGTGCCTCTGTTTCTGAAATTGAAGTAGGTTCTTGTCCTTTTAGTTTTAGTGTTTTTCAACAATCTAGATTTTACGAAGTCAACAGTCAACTCCTTGTCCATGGTCTCTAATGTGATTATCACTGTATCATATTCCTTTGGTAGCGTCAATAATAGGTGACACACTTTGTCGCTTTCATCTAATGTTATTCCAGTTCCTCCCAGGTCGGAAACTAGTTTTTCAAAATTCATAAAATGGTCTTTCAGTTTTTTATAACTTACACATTTCAAAGACAACAACTTTTTACGTAAATAGAGTTTGTTGACAACACTTTTTCTTATAAATACTTCTTCCAGTTTTGTTATCATATCATAAGCTGTTGTACATCGTTTTACTATATCGATAAATTTGCCAGATAAGCATTGCACTATTTTACTTCGTGCTTTGGCGTCGATGTTTTTTATGTCCACCTCGGGATTTCTGCCTTTATTAATTGTTGCTTCCAATCCCCTTTCTTCTAATAAGGTTTTCAGTCTGTATTTCCATTTTGAAAAAGCTCCGTCTTCCAGTTTGGTTACTACGAAATTCACATTCGATGCCATCTTATTTATATTTTATTTTCCTTACGATATATTTTCCACATAAAAACTTTTATTTTCTTCCCATATTTTATTAATTGAAGCGCATTAGAAGCGTTTTGAGTATTTAAAATGATGAACATTGTAAATTAGGCGGCATCTTTATTAGCAAAGCAGACCAGAGAGAGCAGACAGCAAAAGGCATACATATACTAAAATACATTAGGGCATACATAGACTATAACTTAAACACCTTTTAATAACTATCATTTCTAATAAAGATCTTAGAATCTTACTTAGTTATCTCTATTAACAAATAACCTTTCATTGGTCCTTCTTTATTTAATCTAAGAATCTATAATAAAAGTAATAGATAATTACATATTTAAGTTTATAATAGGTTCTAAACTAGCGAATAACTAATATACATAGTGGTCTTTGGGGCCACCTTCAGGCATAAGACCAGTACGACGCCAATTTGAGTTCTCATCTTCTTGGTAAACTTCGCAAAATGGAAAATAACTATGGCTATAGTACGTTCTGATTACATTTGAAGGATGAGCCATTATAATATTATCCAACTCTTCATCAAAACTAAATTTGTACTCGCCGTTTCCAGAATTTATATACATAAAACGAATAACGCCTACCGCAACCTGGTAATGAGCTGTAACTTCTACGGCATCTTCATCAAGTAGCATGTACTTTAAAGTTTGATATATGACTGAGTACGGGAAACTGAGAGATATTAAAGCATCCATCATTGATTTTGATGTTACTGGCCAAAGGGAAGGATATGTAGATATCAAATCCTGTTTCAAATAATTTACGCAAGCTTTTCCAAATGCAGGCGCGATATTAGAGCAAACATTTTCGAATTCCGGATACTCGTACTGATAAGTCCTATACTGATCTTGACTACGAACGTTGTCAACGATACTTTGAAATACATCACCTGTTGAAAAGGTCTCCAATAGCTCTACAAATAATACAGTAATGTTCCAAAAAGTAATTATGTTATATTCTTTTTCTATAGAAAATGAGTCCCTTATAATAGTTTGTATATTTTTGTACAGATGCACAGGAACCTTGAAATTCTTCTCAAATAACAGTCTTTTTGATATATTCAGGGAAAGGCTTTCCAAAACTTTCTTGAACAAATTTTTGTGATCTTGCCACACTACCAAGAACCTTTCCATAGCCGGAACAAACAATTTATCAAATTTCATTTGCTGAATTTTGACACTATTATTCGTTGTCAGATATGTTGTAAGTACTCTTAAAATGTCCTTACGAAAATAATAGTATTCATTATTACTATCCTCGATGAAACACTTGTCAATGGCTTCTAACAGGAGCATATCTATAAAACTGACCTCTACAATGCGAACTTCAAGCCTCAAATCTGTCCAAAAATCACTAATAAAATAATTAATTTCAAGTGAGTCTGGGACATGAGTCTTCAAATAAAGAATAATCCTTCTAAAAAGCTTGTATTTGACAATTTTAGGTATTTTATTTATATTTCCCATTTTTACCTTTATGGTTGCATAAAATTCATCTGTTAAATTGCACATTATTTCGTCCAACAGTTCCCATATCTTAATAATCATGCGAGACTCTTTTTCTTTGACTAAAAGTTTATAAGTATATTTGAATAAACCACATCGCACTGAATACCTAGTTGTGAGATTCCATACATTTAGTATACTTTGTTTTGTCTTATTAACATCAAATTTTTTTAACATGTAAAGTATTCCTAGTTTTTGGTAACTTCCAGACTCAGTCAAAAATTTATTTATATATGGTAAGGCCTCATCTGATCGAGTGTCCAGCAACGTTAAGTATAATAATGGAGCAGCAAATCTAAAATAAACACCTTTCGTATACAATAAAATAGTATCGAGACTTACTGCGGGGCGCAACAAATACAAACATTTAGCAATATTTTTCTTTATATCAAATGAGATGGTACTAGTTTCCTCTTTCCGATTGATATTAATAACTTTAGGAGTGTAGGTTTTCACCAGTTTCAAAGCTTCTTTACAAGGGAGTAGAATAAACAGACCCTCTATGCAGGACTTAAGGTCTGAAGGTTGTCGCAATCTAATAAAAAAGCAATCAACCCACTGCTTAGCTATAGAATTTGGATAGTAGACCCGTAATTTTCTGAGAGTTCGGCGCAACGACATTTTATTTTTCGGAATAATAGTCTCTGTGCTGGTTTTGTGTCGAAGTAACAAATCTGGATTATGTTTTAGAATGTTTAGACAGGTTTCGTCACTCGGACATAGGGTAAGAGAATCTTCAAATAGTAGCCTTCTTATGCTTTTATGCTGCCTGTATAAATCAATTAGCATTTTAGATACATCTTTGCCCCACGAATTTTCGTTTTTGATCTTTATTAACTCTCGTATTTTATCCAACAAAAAAGAAAATTCTGCGACGTTTTTCTTCCAATCCTTCATAAACCTTATCATTTCATCGCACATAGAAATCACGGCTGCAAAATCGTTTTTATTTCTAACTTTACTGTTAATCAGTTGTTTTGATGCATATCTGTACAAACATTTAAATATTTTTTGGCTTTCGTCAGGATCTAATTTATTACGAATTTTTTTGAAATTATCCAGTGCTATGTTATCTTCTATAACTGTAGGTATGCATTGATCGTTAAGAACGGTATATAATACTATAGTAGGAATATAACGAATTTTTATATCAGCCCTATTATTTTTATTTACATCGCTATAAATACCCATATTCTTAAAGATGTCGTTCAGCATTTTCCATGTAATCTCGTCATACTTGTGTATTTTTGTGATTTGAAGCAAATAGGAGCTTATACACTCATCAAAAATATCTTTATCTTCTGCCTGTCCATGGTAACTACTTATGAGTGTTTGTAAATGCTGTAAGTTGCCTCGGGCACATCTTACTAATACTTTTAAAGTCCACGGCCGTATAACTGTGCTAGGAAATGTAAAAGGACACCCTAATAAATTCATCACACCAACACTACTTTCCACAGTACATGCCTCGTCAAATATTTTATCTTTTATTGCATTAAATGCTGTTTCGAAGGGAGCAAAGCGGTACCAGGAATACGAATCCTCTATTGTTTCTTCAGTCTCTTCCGATTTTGTATTATTGGGTGAAGTTGTGTTTGCTCCATTCAAAAATAGTTCTTGAACTAATTGAAAGCGTTGCTCCGCTGGTACACGCTTTATGATATGTTTCACATATTTATATTTACACCATGATCTTATAGAATCTCTATCACTTAGCAATTGTTTCGTTAGAAAAGGTTGAATTTCTTTAGGTTTTAAATGTTTTCCAAATTCAGGCAAATCTATTTTATAGCAATATTTATAAAAATTGTTACATATTATTCTAGGGCATCTATTCATTAGGAACCTTGTAGCCTTTTTTCCGAACTTAGGAATGAATATTTCATCTACAGAGTTTATGATCTCCAAATATCTTTCAGTATCAGTGAAAAGAAAAGTTATAGCGCTTTTTAACCAACATTCTGAAGGATTTATTTCACAGCAAATTTTTAAAATCGCCAATGATTTTCTACACAACCTTTTCATTATATTTAGATCTATATTTACCCGATCATTTTTTATAACGCTTATAATCAAACTTTCAGAGCAATGGGGCAACCATTTTTGGGCAGTTTTGAAGTCTTCAAAGTTAAAAAAACTATAAAACTCATCCACACGCTTTTCATTTCTCAGATAGAGTCTTATAGTAAGCAGGAGTTTGTTCTTTGCCTTGTTTTTCATCTCGGGGAACAGTTGTTGGTGGAGGTAGTACGGGTTGATGATATGCGCATACTGGTCGTCGCACACCAGCCACGTACTGCTCCGCAGCGCGCGTGAGACATACAACATGTCACCGCCTTTCAACACCTCCAGCAAATATTGCGCGTTCTGTCGCGCACACGATACATCAATTTTAAATAAGTTATCCATATCCTTATCGTCATAATTGATGCTTTCCAATGTAAATGTTTCGTCACTCGAAGCAGTCTTCACGAGAGCATTGTAATGCTCGTGTTTCTGACCTAGGGTTACCCCATTAAGTTTTAACGGAGTCATGGTGGTTATATCTGTAAACGACGAGAATTCGTAATCAAATAATGAGATGGCAAGAAAGTTCGACACTGTATGTTTGTATTATAGCACAAGTTATTACAAATTATATTTCCTTGCAAATCTAAACTACAGTGGGAAACAAACCCTTCTTTGTTTACGTCAGAAAGCTTATAATGTGAAATTAGGTTATGCACTAAATGAAACATAACGTTTTAAGCATTTAATGGCTAGATATTCAAATCAAAGGAAATTTACTAGAAAAATATTCACTGGGTCCAGGTTTCAGACGGGATTCGAACCCGCATCTTCCGCTTCCGTTGCATGCAACCAAATAAATACTGGTCATTAAAGTCTCTGCAGCCTAATTGGTAAGTGCATCCGTCCAGATAGCAGAATCTGAGGGTTCGAATCTCGTCTGAAACCTGGAACAAGTGGATTTTTTTCTAGTAAACTTTTCTTTAGAAATATAACTTTCGCCAAAACTTACATTAAAAAATAAATAATAATTTGAAAATACGACTGCCCTGCCAAAAACTGAACTAAACCTTAAAGGTTTTTGTATTATTAAATAATCAAAATGTAGTAATTAATTAAGTATTCATAATTATGGTTCAAAAACAACCAGGGACAAGTTTATAAAAAATATAACAATTATTACAAAAATCCAATCGACAAATTGTTATTTTTGCTATACTATTTATTTATTTATTTATTAGGACCACCAGAGAAAGTTTCATTAAATCTTATTTTTAAACATTATAGTGATACATACAAAATGCAAAATTCTATTGAAGGTAGCCACACCATGCTTAAGAGACAGTACGAACGGACCGGATTTTAATTTTCATTTCATCATCATCAGCCTATTAATGTCCCCACCGCTGGGGCACAGGCCTTCCCTATGGATATAGGGAAGGCCTGCCTCCCTATAATAGGGAGACAGGGCCATGACCCACCACGCGGGCTCAATGCGGATTGGTGAGTGCTAACGACTGCAGATGCAGCCGGGACCAACGACTTAACGTGCCTTCCGAAGCACGGAGGAGCTCGAGATAGTAAATTTTTGATCACCCATCCAATGACCGACCACTGCGAAAGTTGTTGAACTTCAACGATCGCAGACGAACGCGCTAACCACTTGCGCCATCGAGCTCCTCAATATTAAATAAACAAAAAGAAAGACAAACTGAAACAACATATGAATAATGTTTATGAACTATTAGTGGCGCCTTTGAAACTATACATAATAGAAAACGAATATATATATAATTATTCGATATAACAAATTTAACGACAAAAATAAAAGCCTACGCATCTCTTAATAACTCAGAAACTTTAGTCCTAAATCGTAGAAAAGAGTCATGGAAATTATCAACACTTTCACTCAGTTTGTTGTAAGCGTCGGGCAAGCGATATGATGCAGAGTATGTTATTATGTTTGTGCGAGCGATTGGTTTGCTGAATGTTGGTACAGGATAGCGTGGTGGTTTAGAAATTCCAGAAATTCTCAGTAAAAATTGCCTAGGCAATCAACTACATTTCTGACAACTTTAAATAAAAATGTGATATCCAAATATTTCTCCTAGTGAGAAGACTGTCCATATTAAAATACTGAAGTCTTTGGCTGTACTTGGTAGATTTTGTATTCAGCCTAATACTGAATGTGAGATGTCTAGTAAAGTGTTTCTGAATGCCTTCAATACGAAGCTGATATACACTGTATTGATGAGACCAAATAACTGAACAGCACTCTAGGGTGCTACTTACAAAGCTGTTATAAATCATGACCTTTGTTGATGGATTTCTTAATACTTTGGCATTTCTCATAATCAATCCTAGAGTTTTTGAGGCTCGAATAATAATGTTATCTATATATGGAATAAATGTTAATTTAGAATCTATTATTACACCCAGATCTCGAATAGTATTTACCTCCTGTAATATAGTATCATTTACTTTACATTGTGACTCAAAATTGTGAGACTTGTGTGATAACTTTATATGATAACATTTATTAATATTGAGAGTCATTTCATTTGTCTTGCACCATTCCACTAAGCTGTCAATGTTCGATTGTAGGAGTTTAGCGTCCTCATCACAGTGAATAACTTTTATAAGTTTAAGATCATCTGCATATAGAAAAACATCACTGTGCTTAATTACATCTACATTAATGAAAACATTGAAGAACAATGGTCCTATATGAGAACCCTGAGGTATACCTGATGTGGATAAATATTGATCTGAACGGAAACCCTTCACATCCACGTATTGAGATCGATTAGTTAAATATGTATGCAACCACATCAATAAAGAATCCGTATTTTGAGAGCTTGTTTACTAAGATTTTGTGACAAACTTTGTCGAATGCTAACTATTATATTGGCAATGGTGTCGATTCTGGCGTGATTCTCTAAACTTAAAACTAAATTTAACATCAATCTCTCCTTTTCATTCCGTAAAGAGAATGACAAGGATACGCTGTTGTCAAATTTAAGTTTAGGTTTAGAGAATCATATCAGAATCGACACCATTGTGAACTTAATCATTATATTAAATTGGGAAACATCTACCATTTTTTTTTCAGTCCCTATATGAATAACTAGCAGGCCGTACCGGCTTCACACGGGTGCATTAAATACTATGGAAACATAATAAAAAAAAGCATCGCACGAGAGTATTGGATCAAGTAGACATGAATGAGCATCCGAAAATATTAGGTATATATGTAGATACGATCTGGTAAAAATGGTTTCGAAATCAGTCAAGTGGTTGAAAAATAAAATTTTACCCCTAGAGATCCCGTGTCCGTGAAATTAAAATGGGTCAAGATGAGTCAGTTAGTCTTCCTTTTTCTTTCTTTATATATTCGTTATAGTATGGAGTTTAGATAGTATAGAATAGATATAGAAGAAGACATCTACTCAAAACAAAATAGGGCCCACCCACAAATAATCTAGTATATTGTCTAAAAAAAATATATAGGGTAATTATTGGCGAGTTGAAGCATTTTAACTTATTGTTGACATGTTTACGAATCTTTATCAATGTTTCAAGCGACAAGTTAAATGTTACTCTTAAGTGAGCAAACAAAAAAGTGAAGTGCCCTAATAATCGTTCAATTTTAAAATTCCCAATCACTTGTGTTCTCAGTCTCAGTCTGACTGTTCCTGTTGCACCTTGTTGTTTTATTTACTACGTTATTTGTGATCATTATGCCTGGTTCTCGCCGTCATATGGATATGGAAACAGCTTCAAGAGCGGTGGCTATGCTTCAGGAAGGATATTCACAGAGATCAGTGGCCATACGAGTTGGTGTGTCACGACGCGCTATCCGTAACCTGTGGGAATGCTACCAAGAGACTGGTAGTGTTCTAGGAGAGCGGGAACAGAACTCGAGCTACCACCGACCAGGAAGACCGTTATATCCGATTGACTGCACGTCGAGAGCGTACAATAACCGCTCGGACCTTACAAAATCGTTTACGCCAATCTACTGGCACACGACTAAGTGATCAAACCATTCGGAATAGACTTCATGAGGATGGCCAACGATCCAGAATGCGAGTAATTCGGCTCAAGTTGACAATGGCACATCGTGCAGCACGGTTAAGATTTGCTCGCGAACACTTAAATTGGACCATGGACAACTGGGGGACAGTACTGTTTACAGACGAGTCTAAAGTGAAGTATTTAGTGACGATCGTCGAGTCCGCGTGTGGAGAAAAGAAGGCAAACGTTTTTCAAAAGCGTGCATTCTCGTAACAGATCGTTTCGGGGGTCCAAGTGTAATGGTGTGGGGTGGAATTAGTTTAATGGGCAAAACTGAACTGGTATTTCTGGAAAAAGGCACCGTTACTGCTGCCAGTTACATCGAGCATGTAATCCAACCTCATGTCATCCCATTTAGGCAAAGAATCGGTGAAAACTTCGTTTTCATGCAAGACAATGCCCGCGCGCATACGGCTCGTATCACTCAGAGAGCACTTTCAGAAGACAATATTACGGTTCTACCGTGGCCAGCCATGAGTCCCGACCTCAATCCTATTGAACATTTATAGGATCATTTAAAAAGAAGCTTCAAGTCAAAGGAGATTGGTCAAATTGGCCTAAAAGCAAATAAAATATTGACATATACAGTAATTCTTGGCGTAATTTATACTTTATTTTACAGTCATTAGATTTTAACGGCCACCTTTAAATAATATATTAATTTTAAAAAAGGACTTCTATTTTTACCGGTTTGGAAAACATACGAATCATTTTTATTGGCTATGGGTGTAGTAACATTCACAAAGACTGATCGAGGTTGTTTATATAAGATCAAAACAAATCTATTTTGTAAAGATTGATAAAATATTTCGATGATATTTTAATTCAAAATGTAGATGATATGTAATATTAAACGCAACATAAAAGTACTTAAGTTGTTTTATTTCATTAATTTTCCTTATCAGAATATTTAAGTTATGTCAGGAATATACATATTTCACACATTGATCAGAACTATCATGAACCTACGCAATATATTATTACATTAGAATTACCTTTTACCATTATAAACCTAATTATTACTAAGAAAATATCCTATTGGTTTTTATAAAATTATGATAACAGTTCCATGTTTCTCATAACATAGGTAAGCAGGTACCAGTTCCTTGACATGCATTTTGTTAGTGTAATTAGTGTTAGACCCTTGTCAAATGAAACAAGATTGCTTCTGAAAGTCGCAATGGCATAATCATGATTTTAAAACTTACTCTTGTGCATTAATTTTAAAAACAGGCAATTATCTGTTATTTTACATGCTCTATATACCTGAATCTAATACATAATATCGGTACTTGGCTTGATTGCCCTATTTTCCTATATAAGTTATTTGGTTTTTATTATTCTAATACCTATGTGCCTATTTGCAAACATAACCTCAAAATCATTCAGTGTATATGGTTTATAGAAGTTCTCAGGAGTGGCCGTCGATAATATTCGTTTCTACGGTAATTTATATATAATTTCGAATCTAGGAAACAATTTTTCATGGTTATTGGTTTTTAGGCCAACCATGTATGGAAGCTGAGCAATCTCCTTTCAGTCATGTGAATAGCCGACAAGACCTCATAAACGCCCTTAAAGTCTGTTGGGAGCTAATACCGACTGAAAACGTTATCCATTTAATCGAAAGCATTCCAGATAGACTAAGAGAGTGCGTACGGACCAGAGGAGGTCCTACTCGCTACTAAAAGAGACAATTTTCATAAATTTGTGTGAAAATATTGTTAATATTCTTAAAAACTGTAATTACTGTGTAATTCACATAAAACTTTTAATTTTCACTGTTGTTTATGTTTACACAATTTCCAAACGTCAATTATAAACACCTCAATTTAAAAAAATACTTAAGTTAAAGGAAAAATAAATTATAGCTGGAAAACGGGGTGGGCCCTATTTTGTTTTGAGAAGTTTATATTCGGTAAACTAAAGACTGCTCCAACATTATGCCCAGTTGCCATTTACATGTCAAATTATGAAGTTTAAGTTTTAAGATTATTTAATTAATAACAAATCAGAGCAAATCTGCTGGTCAAATATCTGATATCTACTTGGTCAGGGGAATGGCTACCCTGATTTTTCAGCTTCGCAAAAAGTTCCTAAGTAAATAGATCGAGTATATTGACGACGAGTATAGTGGTTAGTACGTCGGGTTTCATGGTGTCGCCGGCTCGAGAGGTCCCGGGTTCAAATCCCGGTGGGGGCAGATGTTTGTGTGATGAATACGAGCATTTGTACTCCAGTCATGGCTGTTTAATATGTATTTATATAAAAATATACTTATTTATGTATATTATACGTATTTTATCGGTTACCCTAGTATCCCATAACATAAGCCTTATAGTGCTTACTTTGGGACTAGGCTAATTGGTGTGAGTATTGGAAATATTTATTTATTTATTAAATCTATTTGGCCATGGACATGGCCATCCTGATATTTCTGTGTAGCAAAGAGTTTATTTTAGGCATAAAGGTTGAATATCTTTTTATTCCGGAATTCCCAAGGGAACGGGAACTTCTCTATTACCGAGGAGATTATCATGGGTATGGAATACTATAGTCATTATTCTAATCTCATCAGTAAGGGCACACGTAACCTCTGGTTCAATCGCGACTGTGGTGCAGGTGTTTCGCGTAAGCAAACGGCATATCGTGCTTGGATCAGAGGCCGCACTCGGACTCTTACGGATCCCGAGGTCGATTTACTAAAAGCAGCCTACAATTTGCTTCCAAGGCCTAAGAAGGCTTACATCCGAACGGATGCCCAGCGCGTTGCACGTGTTGGTCAGGAACTTATAAAGCATCCTACGGGCTCCCGTAGCTATTGGCGTCTGGCCAAGGCCGTGCAGAAGAACTTTTGCCAACCTTCGAGGAGTTAGCAGACTCAAAAGACGCATGGAATTTGAAATTAGAACCGATTCCGATCCCTGGTACCGACGTCACCTTGCTGTGCGATACGCCGACAGGTCGGCCGAAACCTTATTTAACACCGCAGTTTCGGCGGGCCGCCTTCGATCGTTGTCACAACTTGAGCCACCCTGGGGCTCAAACATCTACTCGTTTGGTATCCAAGAGCTACGTTTGACCAAAAAAGAACAGAGATTGCCGCTAGAAGGCACAGCACTGCATTCAGTGCCAAAAAAACAAGCTGTCACGGCACAACAAAACACCCCCTGGTCAATTCGATCTTCCATCCGGTCGCTTCCGCCAAATTCATATCGACATCATCGGTCTTCTTCTATTCTCCAACGGGTTCAACTACTGCTTGAAGGCTATCGACCGTTTCACCCGTTGGCCAGAGGCTTGGTCGATGTCTTCGACAACGGCGGAAGAAGTTGCCGAGAAATTGATGCTGGGGTAGATTGCACGATTCGGGGTGCTAAGTATCATCACCACTAACCAGGGGCGTCCATTTGAGTCATCCTTAATCCAAGAGCTTATGCGCTTTTGTGGCTCCAAACGCGTTCGCACCACTAGTTACCACCCCTGCGCTAATGGCATGGTGGAGCGAGTTTATCGGCAACTGAAGACAGCCCTGATGTGCCACGTGGCAACGTGGACCCGGAATCTGCAACTTCTTCTGCTCGGCATGCTACCTTCTTGGTGTTGGTATGCTACCATCTTCCACTTCACCTTCCTGGTGAATTTCTCCTTTCTCCTCCAACTCCAGCGAGGTCTGCAGACTTCGCAGATTTGTGTCCCAACTGAGACGAGGAATGGACAGCATTCGACCAATTTCCATGACACATCACGCCAGGCCTAGTCATACGTCTTTAAAGACATGGCCACGGCAACGCACGTTTTCTGACGCGACAATACTTGCCGAAGATCTCTCCAACCACCGTACTCTGGGCCACATCGTGTCTTGGAGAAGAAAGACAAGGTCATCACCATCCTCGTCAATGGGAGAAACGTCACCGTCAGCATCGACCGAGTTAAGCCTTCTCACATCGATGCTGAACCCGACGATTGCAAGGGTTCCTCGCACCCTAGTGCTGCCGCACAGCCGGCACGTCTGCTGCAAGTTCCTGCCCAACCGTCTCCAAAAGCTATAGACCCAGAACCTGCTTCCACCTCTACTCAACCCTATAAAACCCGGATAGGAAGACAGGTTAGGTTTAAGAATTTTGACGAAATTGTTACATAAGCGGTAGTTTTTTTTTTGTTTCTTTTTTTGTTGTTGTCTTGCTCTTCCATACTCCGTAGGGGAGTGGTGTGGCGATTTTCCACCGCAGAAACGTTGATCCACGTCGCCATACAGCCAGTGTCTATGGACATTCCGTAGGCACTGGCACATTAGATAATAAGTTTTTAATTGTTTTTATGTTCTTTTAATATTTTCTGGTTGATTTATAGTTGTCATTGTAAATAGACTTTTTTTATTAATTTAAAAAAAAATCTTTTGAAGTTGACCAAGTATTGCCGTTTTATTATTCCACTAGTGGGGAACAGCGGTGAAACATCCCCAAAAATATGTTATTTGAAATCAGATTTACACTACCGTTTAATAGTTGAGTCTTTGTTAAACTTTATTTGAAAGTTCTTCATTACGCGCTGGGCAGGCGTCCAGGGGGCCATTCGCCTAACGGAAATGCTTTGGAAAACGCTAACGCTTACGATTTCATTTTGTTATTTCCAGCCCCCTGAGGTTTTCAAATGCCTCGCGCTATTTTTTTTCTTTTGCATTGGTAATAATAATATTAAAACAAATGAGCGTGAGGTATTTGAAAACCATCGGCGGTCAGAAATAACAAAATAAAATCGAAAGCGTTAGCGTTTTCCAAAGCATTTCCGTTAGGCGAATGGCCCCCAGTCCACACTTGTCCGTGCCATCTGCCCACGCTTTCTCAGTACGCTGCACGCACGGTCGAGTTATTCCCAAAAGGGGGATTGAGCCTGTCCCGCGCGGGACATTTAAATTTGATTAAAAAATCGGGACGTCGCGCCATAATCTGGACATAACAAATATTGTTAATCAATATTGGTTGATATTTTTTTTTCATTTATTGAGCTTGGCTATGAATGGTTGATAACCTAAACTATCAACCAAATGTCAATTTAAGTTGCGTTCAGAAACTCGATTTAAAACTTTTGTTAACAGGATGCATGTTCGTATGTGACCTAGTAATAGTGCATGATTATTCATAACTACTCCGGCGGTAATGCAGAGATGAGCGGGATTGAAGAGCTAGATTCTGATTAATGTTTTTTCTCACACAGTCTTAATAAATTTTATTAAAAATCGGTTGTTTTTTCTCAATCTTAGTAAATAAATTTTATTTAAAAAATCTGATGTTTTTTCTCACTTAATCTTACTAAATAAGTTTTATTAAATGAAAACTTTTGTTTGCTCACTCTACCTATTTGGTTTGAATTGACAGCTATAACGACACAATATGGCGCCCAGTCGGTCCTATTCTTAGTTGAATCGCATTTTATAGATGGTTGTACCTTCATGTGTTGGTGGCTGTACTAAATTTATGTGCCTTAGGTAGGCACATAAATTCCTTCTTAAGCAGGTAACTGATTTTAAGTGTTTAGTAGTACCAATAAATAGGTAATTTATCTAATTAACATAGAACCGTAAACCTAATTTCACGTTATTCTCCGGGTTGCCAACCCTACTATATAATATAGAATCCTACTATATTAAAGTATCAAATACTATATTTCTAAAATATATATATATAGTAGGCGAAACTACTACATTTTCTTTAAAACAGAATTTTGCCAGTAAAAGCTTTCTTAAAAATAAAAAAATATTTATTAACGCATAGAGCACCAAAACTTTATTCATAGCAACAAAAAATATTTTAACCACGAACTATATTTTCTTCAATATTTTTGTCATCTACTATATTTTTAGAGATAACAGTTTGGAAAATACTACTATATTTGATAGAAAAAAAGTTGGTAACCCTTGTATTATTTATGTTATATTATGTTGTGCAATAGCTACTACCTACATACTTCGGAATTTACTGATAAACCTAACGATAAGGTCTTATAATTCTAAGCATTTACTAATAATATAACTTCCTCGGAGAAAAGTAATGCTTGTTTTTAACTAAGTAAAGTACTTAGAGCACAAACAAAGTCAGATATTGAAAAGAAAATGCAAACATAAAATAGGCTAAGTAAGTAGTTAGGTACCTAACTATAGCAAATAATATAATGAAAATTATTATTACTTACCCAAATAATTTGCCAGATGAAATAACCAAACACTGTATAACCAAGAAAACAACACTGTTAGTTTTAAAATTTTGGAGACTTTCCCACAAAAACAAATCTTAGAGGATCGCACTCTACGTCAGTTTAGGGAAGTACGATCGACGTACACTACATACGGTAGCCAGTGCTTCACTAAAAATAAACTCGTCTTCCTTCTCAATGTATATACTACACTACACACCGGCCGGCACTATTCAGTACACTCTTTCATGACCTTGAGTTTTGTTTTAGGGATGTGAAAAAATAATCGAACTTCATGACTCCTGTATAATATACTTTGTTCATGGCAGTACTCCACTTATAATTAGATTTATTTTATAAAAACAAAACTAAGCAAATTACATCCCACCCGATATATGGTTATTAGGTTTGTAAAACCGTCATCTTGTGCATCGAATGAGAAAACTCAAAAATGGAAAAAAATGCCCAAGTGATAATATTTTCAAGAGAAAGTTATTTTATTGTGGGGTTGATAAAAAGGTGTTCATCAAAGTGTAGGACAATAGAATTAATTTGGTTAGCATTAAATCAGTAAAACAGATAGTTATTTTATTATTGCCAACCAAAATATTATTAATTTTAAAAAGTAGGTGTAGTTTTGTTGACAAGACATTAGAAATATTTGATGATGATATGGTAATACTTGAAATGATTATGATGTTTAGTATTTTTATAATTTTCGTTATTTAATTATCTAATAATGTAGGTATGTGAACATAGCCAGATTATTATAAAACGTTTAAAATTGTTTAAAGGAACTATTGATGTAGGTACTGTATTTAACACTTATGTGACATCCCTAGAATAAATTGAAAGAAAAAGAATGAATGAAATGAAACAACCAATGAATGAATGACACCCACAAGTTCAAGACTCATAGTACAATTTATACCAAACGATTCCGATTAGACCTTCGCACCAAAAAGCTACCTATAACTTTTGCAATGTGAATGCTTATTGCGGATTCAAAATAGCAGGTGCGGTGTATTTATCCATAATTAATTGCAAACGATTGACCGCTCGAAAATATACCTTACCAAGCAATTTGTTAATTTAATTCTCAACAATACATGACACCTGGTTTTCGGTCACAGATTAAGTACAAGTTACTAAAGCCGGAAATATATTTGTCTGTCGTCTTGTGTCGTGCGTGACGCATCTGAATACCTCTTTGACACGTCACGCACGACACAACATGGTTTCAAAGATATCGTCGACACATCGCGACACACGAATATAATATTCTAACCTAATATACTAAATGTATGAACTCTCTGGCGCGCAAGTAGTCTTATACGAAGAATCTCGTGGCTTGCGCAAACAAGGGACTTTTGCCGGCGCATCAGAAGAAGAGGGATGCCACATAAGGCTGCTGCAAGAGCTTGGAGGGGCGGCTAAAGCCATATAAAACATTCGTCACCGACCTATATTTATCACAAGAGGCAAAAGTACTACTGATGCTGGAACTGCACTTCTCAAACACATTTTTGATATATGGGAGAGTAAGCACGATGCTAATGGCTTTTTTGCGACTTATCAAAGGCGTTTGACCGCGTTAGCCATGAAATGTGTTAATCAATCAATTAGTGATAAAAATTAAGGAGGAATCAGTCGAGAACGTTTGTATGGAAAAAACATTGCCCGCCGCCCCTCTTCAGGAGTTTACACTTAAGTAGAACAATAAAAAAAATATGACGATTTAATTCGCAAGTAATATTTATTGCCTTAAACCTAGCGAGATAACTAATATTATTACAATATTAGAAAGTAATTTGACAATTCTTTATTTTATAGTGGTACCCTTTAAAACGAATTTCTATATATATATTTATGGAAATTATACAAGCAAATGTGGTTATGGTAAATTAAATTTTGATTTTATTAATGCTTTATACATTTTCACTTGTCATTTGCCTCTTTATATCGACTGAGGAGCTGGCGAACAAAACGGTATACTTACACAAAATTAAATTTTACAGATGTATAAAACTGAATGACATACCTCCAGTGAGCTTTTGGCATGGTTTTTAATATAACATAATTTATAAATTTAGTAATTTTAACACTGTTTTAGGCGGTTTTGATTGATAATTGTATACTTTTTTTGACTGTAAAAAAAAGTAGTTTGACCAGATGCGTAATTATAACGTTTTGTTCGCCAGCTCCTCAACTATGAATAATTATTCACAATCACATTTTGTGTTCCATACCCAAGAATGGCGGAATTATTTACTAGCATACTGAAGCATACGCCATCTGTCACTTTGACTATTCAGCTATTTGTCTTTTAGTTTACTAGGCGCCATCTTCATGGGTGAGAGAATAATGACCCCGGACGAGCTAACTTCCCAGATATGTAGCGTTAGTACGAGTTTTACAATTATGAAAACTATGATAGTTTGCGTGAACTCGTACTTAGGGTACTGTAGCGATTCCCTCCTCCTCCTCCCCAAACAAACAGTGTTTAAATTCTATCATTAAATCATTTGCGTCTTCTTAAATTTTAAGTATATTTGTTTACTTTCACCAAATGGACACAGAAATATAACTTACAATTACTAAAACTATGATAGTTTTCGTGAGCTCAAACTCGTACTTAGGGTACTGTAGCGATTCCTTCGCCCGTGATAGGCACTGTTACAACTACAAATTATTTATGGAGCACTTCGCAAGTGCCAGATTCGCACTCGACCAGATTTGTATAAATCAAATAAAATATATACGGATATAAAATCTAACTAATCCTTCGATTAACTGTTTTTAACAGCCAATTTAATCATTCATTCTTTTTTTTACATTATCAATTATCTACCTCATACTAGAGCAGAATTCACATTTTAGTTTCTTATTTGCAATATTTCACAGTAAGATTTATTAATAAACAATGGTGCCAATTCTGGCGTGATTCTCTAAACTTAAAACTAAATTTAACTTCAGTCTTTCCTTTTCATTCTGTATAGAAAATCACAAGGATATACTGCTGTCAAACTTAAGTTAAGTTTAGATAATCCTGCTAGAATCAACACCAGTAAAACACTACCAGCCGCACCACAGATTAAATGTAATGATACATTATGTCCAATTTTGTTTTTTATTCCACTTACAAAATGTACTCAAAGACGTAAATCAATTCACTTTTAAGTTTGATTTAAGTTCATGCTGTCACATTCTTTTCGATAATAAAAGAATGAGACAGCATGTGACTTAATGAAGCATTTATTTTATTTGATGTCTCCGAGTGTATGTTCTGGTTCACCTGACATTAAGCGATTACCACAGCCTATGGACGTTTGCAATATCAGAGGCATCACTCATAAATAAGTTAATAATAAGTTGCACAAATGTTTCACAAACTTTTTGAAGAATCCCATACTGTTGTATCATTCTTTTAAAATCGCAAAGTGACCACATAAACTTGAATCAAACTGAAATGTAAAGAGATATCTTCAGAGGTATTCAGGTACAGCCATAAATGTTTAATAAAAATCATTGACTTTTCGTCTTCTCTTATACCTTTGTTTAAACTCACTACTACACCCGATCGGGGCGTGTGATGATAAGTGAGTTAAAGGCATTTAGTCAAGTTTTCAAAACCTGAACACCTATTTATTATATAATAATGCTACCAGAAATATACAGGTGCACTAAACAATGGGTCAGCTGATGAAACAGTAAGAAGTAGTGATTTATTACACTGTAATAAAACAAAACATTTCGTCTAATTTCTGTGCCGTTTTGAAGTTATCAACGTAAAGTCAATTAATGATTTGCAGCCTACAATAAAAAGTGATTGCTTATCATTGATCACATGAAATGCCATAAAATTCACAACCATGATGTTGCATTGGTCATGCACTTTGCAATAAGCTGATGACAAAGTTTTCTCATCTCTATAATATCAATATACAAAAAAAAACTGCTAGAAGGTGGATGCATACAATGTATGTGTAACCAATGCAAAACGCATGTTTCTTTATTTTAACATTCATGTCATCGGAATGTGTTAAGTTTTGTCAAATATTATGCTGGCTTCAGACAAAAATATTTCATCTTGTAGCTGTGGTGATTATTGCTAATTAATACTTATATTTCTTATCATTGTTACCTTTTACTGTAGCGACATAAAAATAAGGTGACATATTGGTACCACAATATAAAATAGTCAGATATTTCCATAAATTTCACAACTTATTTGTTATGGTATGAAATAAAAAACGTTCTTAACTGTTACAGTCGTAACTAGATATTGATGAGACAGCAGGTTATTTGTTGAACCTAAAACAAGAAAATTGTTAGTTAATAAATTTAAAATAACAGTGTATAGGGAATGGATTGAGCAGAGCAATCATCATCAGCCTATAAATATCCCCACTATTGGGGCACAAGCATTCCCAATGGGTCAAATAGGGAGATTGGGCTGTGATTCACCATGCAGGCCTAGTGCAGTCTTAGTGGTGGCTAACTGGTGTATGCTAGAAATATTTATTAAACAACCACTAGCCGGTGCCGCTAGTATTAAATATGCATACAGATACTAACATTGCTTAGTCCTCATTGGTGGCCTCATCGGGTGCTGGTGTGTGCCACGTGAGCCTCTCCTCGTAGAACTGTATGACAACTTGGGGACAGCGCACGTTGGCCTGTTTGGCTGGCACTAAATCAGCTTCGTCAGTGCCTTGCCATTTCATCAGGAACATCAGCTCACCGCTACTGTCAGTTGCACCTGTTGATAAAAGATAGTGTTAATAATTTATCAAACATTGGCAGAGATTATAAAAAATTGAACAGTTAATGATGTGAATAATACTAGTCTCCTATATAAATTGACTGACTGACGTGACTTTAGTTTTTGAGAATCCCACAGGAACCTTAAATATTTTCGAAATATTAAGTATTCTATGTCTCAATCCAGGTAAGAAAACCTACTCAATTTCATCCAAATCCATTCAGTAGTTAATACGTAACTGAGTAACAAACATAACACAAATTTTCATATTTATAAGGCATATTTTTAAATACACAGCAAATAACTTATTACCCATCAAGTTATTTAGAGCAATTAAATCAAATCATTTATTATTCGGACAACATAGATCCATGTGTTAGTATACAATACTTAATACTATGTTAGTAAATTATATTAAAAACAGATATAAACCTATTTACAAAAAAAAACCACTAAATTCCTC